AGTCTTACATGTAGTCGCCGCATTCTGTCAAACTTGGAATTGATCGGGCCGGGCTGTAAATCCGTTTTGGCGCATCAATCCATCCTGTTGCCGCCACCATGCTGGATCTTGAGTTTGCTGGTACGGGTTGGGCAACTCGCGATAACGCCACGATTGCCTTCGGCTGTGTTAGTGATCCTTTGCACCTCGATAACCACTCCACATACTATAGAGTGTCTAACCATCTTCTAGATCATAGCCTATAGTGTGATTCGAACCATCTATTTGGTTTGGTTCCATCCTTTAGCAAAATATCCTGGACCCAGAATTGCTTCAGTTTCCAACGTCTGGTACGGATACCAATGGTAGGTTGACAAACTTCGACAAAGGGAGTGCATCCCAGAAAATAGCCAAGACTAATTTATTATCTTCAGGCTGTCCGGTCGCTATCCTTGGGCAATGCAACGAGCCTTCAAAAATTATGGTGAGCTGTAATCACTTTCTGGTGGGAAATTGACTTTCTCACATGAATAGGCGATGTTGTTAGAATTGCACCCAACGAGCTGGTCTTCATAACTCCCAAAGCCTACACAGGTATGTTCTCTGCGACCTGTCCTGATGCTGAAATTTCTAACGCAAAGTTGGCAAGACATCTACACCAGCAGCATCAATGGACGGCCTGGCTTTGTCAAGTCTGACATGCTCGATACCGGGGACAAGTACGAGGGCTTAGCTTCGGAAAGAGATATCGACAAGCACCGGGCTGCCCGCAAGCAATTGGCTCCTGCATTTAGTCCTCGGTCTTTAAAGCAGTATGAACCCATCATTCATGCCGACGTGGACGAGTTTGTCGAAGTGCTCAAGAACTCACCTGCGACTGGAGCGGGGGTCGACATTGCTCCATGGTTTGAGAGAGCCACTTGTGATCTTGGTGGCTCGATCACACTCGGCCACAATTTCAAAAACATCCAGTCTGGTCAGTGATACCCGGGCCTCGGTGCTTACGAAGTCTTGCAACTAGATTGCGCTGGAATCTCGGCTGACATGATCGCCGAATAGGCCAAAACCACCCTATCTTAGAGTCACTGTTGCGCATTGGTCACTGGGCCACATTCCGCAACGTCATGCGCCGCTTTCCCCTGCTCTATCCACTGTCCTATGTCTTTCTGCCGCCAAAAGTGGCGTTCAGCTACTTCAGAGCTCACTCGACGAGTAAAAAGCTCATCAGAACTCGTGTCGAGGAGCGTCACGACCGCAAGGACTTGGATTACATGACCCAATTTCTGAAGAACGAGGAGGCGCTCCCGCCAGATGGTTTCCTCGTGTCTCAAGCCGGCCATCTCATTCTTGATCATTACGAATCTTCGAGTGTCTTGACGGCGGGTATGTGTTTCTTGACAACGAACGATGAGGTCATGAGAAAGCTACAGAACGAATTGAGAACGGCTTTCAAGTCGTATGAAGATATTACGGAGGATAAGCTTCAAGATCTGCCCTGGCTCAATGCTACTATCGAGGAAGTCATTCGACTTCACACCAATGTTCCTTACGGACTTCCAAGAATCAGTCCTGGTCACACTGTTGATGGGAACTACGTGGCAAAAGGCGTAAGTAATCCAGTCTACTCTCCAGGCACTGCTCATTAGCACCCTCTCAGTTCCTTTGTCGAGAAATCAAAACTGACCTCAGAGTCAGGTCGTTGTTTCGTCCTGCGCATATGCTACGACTCACTCGGAGAAGTACTTCAGCAAGCCGTACGAGTTCAAGCCTCAGCGATGGCTTCCTAAAGATCATGCAGAGTATAACCACGTTTTTGATGGTGATGACCGAGCTGCCTTTAGGCCTTTTAGTGCCGGATCTCGCAATTGCCTTGGCCAAGCCATGGCCTACCTGGTGCTTCGTATCATGTTCGCAAAGCTTTGCTGGAAGTTCCAGTGGGAGCTCTTGAACAAGAATGAGATGGACTGGGATCGGGATCTTCGACTCTACATTGTATGGCAAAAGCCAAAGGTGCACGTTCGCATTACTCCTTTCGAGCGAAAGGTATGATCAGAGACATTGATAAGTCTTCCACACGGCTCTGTCCATGTACTAAGGTAATCAAAGTACCAGTCAAGCTTGGTCCAAATGCAACAACTCCATGTATGTAGATCAGGTACTTATGTGAAATAAGTTGTCTCAATTTCTCTTCAAAGATACCGAAATGGACACCGATGACGACGACGAAGGCGGTGATCTTGCGATAATGGCTACAGCTCCTTGTGATATCCGGGTCTCTCCCTCTTTCTAGTGAAACTCATTTGGGATGCAGACCAGCGGCTTGACTCATTGTGACAGCGCGGTGGCTTCAATCAGAAAATCTGCGCTCTTAACAATAAAACTTGAGGCGACTATGATTTCTAAGTTCTCCTATTCTAATTCCATGCCACCGCTGCTATCGTCTATGTGTTAGAGCCTCTGATCCGTTTGCTAGCCTGTCTAATAGTTTGGAAAGTCTCCCGCGTTTGTCTCATCACTCCTCGAACAATTTCAGAAGACTCTAAGCGACTAAGAATCCCAGCCTCGCCCTCGTTCGTACCATCTCGTTGGTCCCAAATTCGAAACTCCGCAGGTAGACCCATCAGTCGCTCCACCGTATGCATCTGATACTCAAAGACTTGAGTCATCATCATGAGCTGTATGCTTGCGGGCTGCGCTAATAGCTGAGCCGCGCTCGCGGCCGATGTCCCTGATCCAGACCCTTCGCGCAAACACCTGTTCATGCGGTTGAATACGATCTCAAACAGCTCACCGAGCTGGACATATGTTGATAGAAGCATCAATGTCAAAGATAGTGCCGGTGGTGGTACAGGGGTCACGGACTCTAGGACAGTTGCGAACCGCATGGTTACATTGAGAACGCGATTCCAAATGCTGAGGTCCCAGCCTCCTGGTGATTCTGTATCTTTCCCATGCTGGATTGCGTCTTTTGTGAGATGCGGGTTCCAAGACTCCCATGGCTGATCCTTGAGTTCCGCTAATTGATGAGAAAGGCTGCCAAGGAGGCCTACAACATGGGCCCCCGTGTCACCAGCGTTCGAGGTGCTAGGTGTGGCGATCCCGCTTTGACCAGAGAGCTTGTCTTCAACATCCGTCATTGGCTCGTGGAGATCCCTGTTCAAGTGTTCGGCCATGTCGTTTAGATCTCCGAAGTCGAGATCGGGGACGCTTAAGGCGGAGAAGACGTGTGAGTGTGCTCTTGACGAGGGTATGGTGGGCTCGTCGGATGTTGACATCGCAGTCGGGAAATTTGATGCATCTAACCACATGGTCGAGGTAGTATCAACGTGATCTAGCACCCTATTGCTGGTGAAGAACTGCGAGGGGCCTGGATCTGGCGGTTGGCTCTGTGTTGTCGTCGCAGGATCCGTACCCATTGTGACACGCACACCGCGATGCGTTGAGGAGCGACCATTCCGGGCGCCGTACGGCGATCGACTATCCTCGACCTGGCCACGGTGGTTCGCATGTATTGGAGGCCGTCCTAATGGCCGGCCGATGCTCGTGACACACATCGCACCTAGACGGAGACAGCGCTCGCAGGTGCCACCATCCGGTTGGCTTCGGGGACATTTGAGCTTCTGCTCCCGGCATCGGTCGCAAGCGTATCTCTTTGCTGTCTGGTTGTTCATAATACCGGGAGGCTGTTCCGATTAATCGTCCGTGCGATATGATCAGGGGGTTGTCGCTCCGCGTGTAAGTCTCTTTCGGTGTATTTGAAGTCATTCGGAGCGGGAGCCAAGACCTTCGGAAGCTGAAGGAATGTTTGAGTTATGTTTTTGAACAACTATCAGACGAACAAATGTGACATTCTAGTGCGCAGGCACTGAATCCTACGCTTTCCCAATCCGACTAAACGTACGTTCTTCGTTTTTCAGCCCACTTTCACGCTCTCTCGGTAAACTACTTGGGCGTCTAGGGCCCTCGCTCATGCAAGTCGAAACTCTGAAATTGTCTCAAATTTGACAGCTTAGGAAACTGGCCAAGACATATCGCTAGCGAGAAGCAATTGGGGCATCCTACAGGTTCCTTATCCACACGAAACCTGGTTGTAGGAATGTGTTATTCGTGGGGTTCCATCGACAACTGACTAGTGGTGCTAGGTTTCCCGCCACTCGCGTAGCATGTCCAATTATACCAAGACAATTACGGCTTATTATCCGTAGAAACCCCCTCTCCTTCCGATCTGACCGACCAGAGCTCCAGGCAACTGCTTTGAATATGCAGTGAGGGCAGTCCTTGGCAACGGGTCGCATCTGAGGTGGGTTCTCTCGAGACTCGGTTGCTTAGTCTTGGCGCTAATACCATCCAGCCGGCGAAGGAGTTCATTGCGGGAGTTCCTCCCCACCGGAGCAGTCCCTTGCCTGGTAAGGTCCAGCAGCCGGGGCCCATAGCCAGATCTATCCATTCCTTGTCTTTTTCGTATGGCAAAGTGAAAAAATGGTTAGCGTCTCGGACAGACCCGTTGAGGATTGGTATGCGGGGAGTGGTACGGGCCGCGTATACCGGTTATGATGCCGTGCATCCACAGAGCCACAACCAGACTACCTCACTCGTGCATCATAGATTCGTAGTAAGCCCTCAGCCCCAAAAGGTAACTCATTTGATGCAGTCAGCAAAACCCCGGACACAGTCAGCGAAGTCTTGACCTGAAACGGACATACGGATAAGCCCTCGTTCGGCCACTTTACAAAAAGGCACCGAGAAGGCGTGTTTGAATCAGGCGATGTCCCACCCGTGGAGGATTCTGAGCCCCGGATGAACGTAAGGCTTGGCATCCTTCGATCCACACTCGGAATACGACACGTTCTTCAATTCAATCTGGAAACCAAAGAACCTTCAAAATGCTACGTATGCATCCACATATCCATGCACGCGTCACGGTAAAATCCGACTACTGTCGGGCCTAAAGACTCTCCAGCGGCACAAAGCCACGAGCGTCCTATGCATGGGGAATAGTCATTGCCCTTGATACTTGGAAAATGCTTCGCGAAATCTTGTACGCCTTCACTGGCTTAGCCCTGTTGGCTTATGCCGCAGATTTCTATTACAACGCTGGAGATGATCCAAATGAGCCGGTCCGGATACGTTCGAGATTTCCCCTTATCGGACATGTCCTGGGATTGATGAATCAAGGGCCAACCTATTACAGAAAGACAAGGTGCGTTGATTCACTTGAAGTTGCGATGAAGTATCAAGGGCACCTGATAATCAAATATCCGACAGCAATTCAACCGAAGCCGAGATCTATACCCTAGGATGTTTCAACTTCAAGGTATACATCAGTGCGTCCAGCCGGCTTCTACCATTCATCCAGAAGCAATCCAGAGCTCTGTCTTTCCGACCTTTCCTCCAGCTCGTTGCGCGAAAGTATGGTGATGCTTCTCCTGCGACTTACGAGATTTTTGGAGGCAGTCTGCCCGATGACCTAAGCCAGTCGGTGAAAATGAGCTTGGCTCCAGGCCGCCATCTTGATGAACTGAGCCTTCGAATGGGCAAGAGAGTCTTAATAGACATTGATGAATTGCTTTCAGCCAAGGCAGCAGTACCGTTGTTGTCTTGGGCTAGACATGCTGTTGTGCAAGCAACAAGTTGTGCCGTCTATGGAGAGAAGCACCCTTTTCTCAACCAGGAAATAGAGAACTCTTATTGGTACTTCCCACCCTCTCTGATAGTCTCAAATACAATATCGATGCTAACTATATGTTCAAGGAAATGGATGACATATCTTACTGCCCACTTGGTTGGCTGGCTCGATGTGACGAAGAAAGGTTATGCGGCAAGAGAAAAGGTGTTTCAGTCATACATCAGGTACTGCAAAACGCTCCCCCAGGAGAGCTCTCATCTTATGAAAGAGCATCAACGTGTTCTGGGAGAGGCCGGGGTATCTAGTACGGACAAGGCTAAGCAAGCCGCCATTTTCACCATTGCCTCCTTCAGTAACTCAGCGCCAACTTTGTATTGGACCTTGTGGGAACTCTTCTCACGACAAGAAATTCTCGAAGAGGTCAGAGGAGAGCTTACAGAACATGCAGTTATCGAGTCGGAGGACGGAGACTTCGTGCTTGACGTCGCCGCCCTCAAGTCTCAGTGCCCCCTCCTCCTCTCGGTGTTCCAAGAAACTCAGAGAACCCGCCACGTCAATCCAAGTTTTCGCAAAGTCTTGACAGACACGCTTTTGGACGACAAATACCTCTTGAAGGAGGGTAATTACCTCCAAGTACCCGGAAATGTCATCCACAACGAAACTGGCATTTGGGGCCCGACAGCTTTGCAATTCGACCCATATCGCTTCATACCCAAGAAGGGAGGCGAGCGAGATATTTCCACTGCCAGTGGCTTTGTCCCATGGGGTGCTGCGCCGTACCTATGTCCGGCGAGACAATTTGCCGCAACCGAGATTCTCATTATAGCTGCGCTGCTTGCCATGAGGGCCGATATATCACCTATGAATGGATCTTGGGACAAGAATCCAGCTGTCAATTATGCGGATCTTGCTACCCTTTCGCCGCCTATAAAGGATGTCGGCATGCGTGTACGAGTTCGAGAAGGGTGGGCTGGCAAGTGGACAGTGCAGATGGGCGAAAGTCGAAGCCGTGTGCCTCTCGCCTCCGGGTAGTCGTAATACTCCTTTCGAAGGCTTAGATAGTTCCCAGCATCAATGTAAAAAGTACTACGACCCTGTTGCATAACATGAATTGAAACTTTCGAGTACGTGAAACTCAAAACTACACACAAGTTCTTTCCTTGGCCAAACATTCCGTCAGTCGTCAATAGAGTTTCGGCATCTTTTAGCAGAATATCATGTGAAAGAACGCAAAGAGTTCTAGTTGTGGATCATTCGTTACACTTGTCTTTCGGATCTATTAATAAGATGGCAGACTTCTGTCGAATCAACAAGGTCTGCTTTTTTGAACTCATGGTCATTTATTTCGTGATTTATAGTAAAATGGCTGTTCCTCAGACGGCAGGTCAACTACCATCGCGCATTGCTACGAATGCCTCACAATGTATGAGTAGATAAGACTCAGTTGAAACCAAATCCCACGGACGTTTAACACGCGATGGTCTACGTCTAGCTACAAAACTCTAGTTGCCTTTGTTCTTCTTGACAAACTCACACATGCAAGGGTGTGCCATCTTCAAGTTCAACTCAATGCGGATCTGCTGCTGCGGCTGGCCAGGTGGAATCCGAATCTCTTGATACTCCTGGCAAATTCTCGCCAGGATGTACTCCATCTGTTGCTGTCCAAACTTCTGACCTAAGCAGTGACGAGGGCCACTTTCAATCAACAATGTTAGCTTGACTATGTCCTGAGAATTGTTGTCTGAGGGAAGTTTGAAGACTCACTGGTTGTACGGAATAAAGTGCCAGCGATTGATGTTGGCACCCTCCCATCGCTCAGGTCGGAACTCGAGCGCATCCTCACCGTAAATGTCTTTGCGGCGTTGAAGACCACCAAGAGAGTAGACTGTGATGGTACTTGGGTAAGCTACTTCATCTCCAGAGCTTTTCTTACATAGTGCCACTTACTGATGGTTGTGTCCTTGGGAACTGCGACAGGGTCTCTCCCACTCTTTCCACCGCCGATCGGCAACGTGGCGTCCTTCAGGGCCATCCGAACGTTCATGCCAACTTGTCATGGTTAATCATCGGACACTCAATGGACTACTCAAGTACTACTTACGAGGGTGATACAATCTGAAGGTCTCGTTGATGACATGTCGGATGTAAGTCATCTCTTTGAGATCAGATGCAGAAGGTGGCTTATCGCCAGATCTGACAAGAGGAATTAGTCTCTCTCGTAGTTGATCCGGTACAGATTGATGTGCTTACACTTGCGTAACCTCGGCCTGCATTTTCTTCATGACGTTTGGGTATTTGCCCATCAGGAAAATAGCCCAGGCGATAAGAATTGCTGAGGGGTCCTGGAATAATCAGTCAGAAGTCAGGGGCTTCACAGTGTCCGACTGAGTTGGTCTACCTTTCCACCAAGCATGATGGTCATCATGGAGTCTTTGATATCCTGCAACCTCCGTGAGAATGATTCCCTTCGCCCCTGAATGATGCTTACTTACCTTAACACTCTTCTTCTGGCTCACAAGATCGTCCAACATGTTGTAATTTTCAGGCGACTTCTTCGACAAGTCTCTCGCATAGGCGCGATCGACAATGCCCGAGGTGTAGCCATTCAATTCCTTCAAAGCCTTAGGAGCCAGGTACTTGTCCTTGACGTAGTAAGCATTCTTTCCGAACAACATGCGCGCCGTGTTGATGGGGTGGAGAGTCTCCATGGGATCTCTGAAAGGATGGTGTCCAGTAAGGGAGTTAGCAGACTCTCCAAAGAACACCTCAGAGACTACGTCGAGCTGGTAACGGTCGGCAACATCGTAGACTTCAATGGGCTTGCCGACGTCGAAACGTTTGAAGAGTTGCTGAGCATGCTTCTCGGTGATCTCAAGATCATCCGAGCGCATCTTCATAACCTGAGGAGTCGAGATCGTTAAGATCAGAATTATGATGTGGCAAAATGCGACTAAGGGAGTGCACTTACATGCCCCTTGATGCGCTCTTTGCTGTTGTGCCAGTCTTCTCCGTCCACTGTAACCCCACATTAGCATACCAAATTCACAAGATTTGATTAGTTTCAGCAACTTACCAACGAAGATCTGTGTCTCTCCGAGCATATCTCCCCAGATACGTTTGGTGACTTCGCCTCTTCCGAAGCTGGACCACTATTCCACGTTGTCAGTGGACGTGCATCCAATAAACCCCCATCCCTAGAATTCCAGCCTAGATAAATCGCTAAGCCTACCTCTGTTGACATGATAGCCTTGATATTGGCGGGCTCATCAGTAAAGATGAGGCCTGTGCCGAACATACGCATCTCGACAGTACGGCCAGGTACGGCCTCAAGCCAGCTGTTGACAAGCTCGAAGAAGGTGAACTTGAAGAATCTGTACAAGGAGTACACAGCCAAGTCGATCCCTGTGCATCAAGTTGTGAGCTTTGAGTGAATTCTCTGCAGGTGTGAGTACATACCAAAAGGCGCCTTGAAGGGAACCAAAGGAGGCGGGGAGCCGAAATCGCGAAGCCTCTTGTCGCGACGCGACTTCGCTCCCCAGTCGAAGACGTAGATGCTCGCGATGAGAAGAGTAGAGTACGCCGCCCAGTTCCAGCTCTTTGTCATTTCCTGTGTCAAATTGGACGACGCAAGCGAGTTGAGGTTGGACTTGATGGCATCAGGGATGTACGGACTGATCACGCTGACGACATTGCCGGCGAAATCAGTCAAGTTGCTGGCCAAAGTCGTGGGCAAGCCCGCCGAGGGAATTGGGGAGGCCATGATTGCTTAGAGTTCCTGATTGTTCTCTGTCGTAGCAATGACATACGAAGCCTTGGAACATGGCAATGCAAACAGCGCTTCTTCGGATTCTGCCCCTCGGATGAGATATATCATCTGAATCAGTACTCGAGGCGGTCGAGTCAAATTGTGACTTTGTGGGAGGTGGGATGTGGGGGTCGACGCGCAGCGAGTTAGCAGCGTCGCAAATGGGATGACTTAGAAGCCTGGACGAGACCGAGATCATGAGAGCCTAGAACGGGATGGTCTCAGAATCCTTCATAACACTTCATGCAGGGCTCTCGCCAACTGTGGGCCGTCGTCTTACTCTCACAAGCTTCCCGCCGTAGGGTTCCGGAAACATCAGCTCGCTTACCGGATGGAATTGGCCGAGTCTGGAGCAGCAGAAGGAGTGGGGTTTGACATCCTTCTCGGATCGTTCTACAAGTAGACTCGGATCCGGCTTCGGGAACTTGTAAGCGCTGGGGGCCGTCCCCATCCGCCGGGCCCACTTCGGTTCGGAGCCCGGATTCGGAGGGTTCTTCGGAGGCTTACCTACTTGTATCCGAACAGGGGATGATATGCAGACCCAATCCTTCGGGAAACCGACGCATCAGCTTTGGAGATATCTGGAAGCCTGTCAAGGACCCTGCATAGAAGGGCTGAGTTGAAGATACCATGGTACACGCGCAGGACTATCGCAATAAAAGAGGGCAGTATGTAGACGATGGTTTTTGAGGTCAGTAGATGGTAAAATTGAACTACAAAGTCGCAAAAATGGCCAAAGGGACGACAATCTCAGCTCTTGTTCAATCTCCCAATGGCGGAGGCCCGCCGCTGGTCTCGCGAGACCGGCCCATGCCGCAAATCAGAGAGCCCCACGATGTCCTCGTCAAGGTTTCTGCTGTTGCGTTGAACCCAACTGACTACAAGATGCCAGACTACCATCCCGTACCCAATGCCATTATGGGCTGTGACTTCATGGGCACCATCGTCGCAGCTGGCCCTGGAGTCGACAGCACATGTGTCGGGATGCGAGTTTGTGGTCCCATGCACGGCTCAAATCCTGGCAACCCAGACTCTGGAGCGTTTGCTGAATACCTTGTCCAAGATAGACGCCTTCTTGTTCGGGTGCCAGACTCATGGAGTGACCTAGAAGGGGCAGCTCTTGGAGGAGTCGGATGGGCGACTGTGGCACTGGCTATGGAGGACTCCCTTCTTTTGACAGGCACTCCATCAAAACCTGCTCCCTTGCGGTCTGACGGGACTCGCGTACCTGTTTTGGTACATGGTGGTGCCACAGCCACCGGCACTATGGCTTGCCAATTGCTATCGAGGTACGTGCGATTGGAATCCTGGTGGACAAAAATTCGAACAAGTAGACTAACGTTCCACCGCAGTGCTGGCTATGACCCCATCGCAACCTGCTCCCCAGCTTCCGCGGCTCTTGTGAAGAAGTATGGGGCGACTTCCACAACACCTTACTCTTCGCCGACATGCGGAGAGACACTTCGCGACGCAACAAAGGGCTCCATTCGAGCTGCGATCGACTGCATCACCACACCAGAATCCGTGAAATGTTGCTTCACAGCTCTGGGTCGCGCTGGAGCGAGGTATGCATCCCTCGAACATGCTCCTGATGAGTGGAGAACGAGAAAAGCAGTCAAAATGGATATGCCAATGACATATGTGGTCATGGGCCGCGAGGTAAAGCTTGATGGAGTTTACCACCGTGATGCGGACCAGTCCAAATTTGACTTGGGAGCCAGGTGGGCGCTTGAAGTTCAGACTTTGGTAGACGAGGGACGTCTGAAATGCCACCCGGCACGTGAAGTTCCCGGTGGTTGGCAAGGAGTGATTCAAGGTCTTGAGATGTTGAAGTCAGGCCAGGTTAGGGGGCAGAAGCTTGTAGTAAAGGTGGGAAGTGCCTAAGAGCAATATCTCCGATAGTTGTACGCAACATACATGTAGTAAATACACAACAACCATAGTAAACCAGTCCACTGTCTACATAAATTCAAATGATGGTCTATAGTTTCTTTTGCCAATGGAACCATGACTACAGATGACTACTTGTAAACGGGTCACTATCTTCCGTACGGGACCTAAGCTTCACCAGATCTGACATTTGATTTGCTGGAGTGATTCAGTTCTTCGAGGAAGGAAAGTTCGTCATAGGAGCAAATTTACGTTCAGGGTTTTCTCACCACATTATGTGATACGATTCCTGGGGGCGTCTCTGTTGACGGCCTGAGAGGAATCTCCCAAACACAATCCATCGCTCTTCGTGACGTATATCGAGTCTCGTCCTTGTGAAGGACCTAAGTAGTTTCCGGTTATTTATAGGCCTTGTCCGAATGGGGCGCCAAGACCTGTCAGCTTCGGCTCAATTCCTTCAGCCCTATTCGGTGGCTTTCTTGTTCGGTCATGTACATTCGGTGCATTCCCCACCATTACTACGATAACACCAAATAATTACTGCTGACCGTTGGCTTATGGCATCTCTAGAGCTGCCTAAGCTAGGCTTGATCACATCATATAATCGACTGCATCATGTTCACATGCCTGTCCCCTGGAATCTTTATGTTGGACAGGAGGAGTATCGTCATCTAGTAGCCAGGGCCCCAGGAAACTCTCAAGTTTTCTTTTCCTTCACTATTTTCACTTCATACTTCCGATCAACTCAACTTCATATCATCCGCGAGGATGGCAACAGAAGCGGCCGGGGCCACCGGGCCGGCTTCCACAAACGGCGCATCGGAGAAGCTCGCTCAGCCCGCGACGGCTTCCGGTGTGAACTTTCCGTGGAGCAACAAAGATGGCATTTGGCGTCGTCAATTGGGCTCTATGGAGTCTTTCTACCAGAGCTTGGCGTCTCCCGAAGGCTATCCGGTCCACTGGATGATCGGCTGCAGCGTGACACTTCAGAACCAAGACGAGAGCATTGACAAGGAAGGCTCGATCCGCAGAGCTTGGAAGATCGTAGCGAAGGACTTTCCCTGCGCTGGTGCTGTTGTGGATTCAGCTTCACGTGAGATCGTAGTTGGCGAAGATGCCATCACAGACGAATGGCTGCAAAAGAGCTTCCTAGTTCACGACGGAACAACCGCCGATGAACTCTTCTCTGCGTTCAAGAGCCAATTCCACATCACGCTCCATTATGTTCGAGACTCCAACCAACTTCTACTCCAGTCACCCCACACTCTTATTGACGGGCGAGGAATGTTGTACTTGTATCACGCCCTGTTCACGACACTGGCAGCTCTGCCAGATGACAACTCTCAGACGCACCACGAGACATCTGGAGCACCAAACCTTTCTAAGCCGTACGACGACTGGTTGGGGGTCTCGGCTACACCATCAGAGAAGAACTTTGCCGATGCGCAGTCCATCTTCCAGCGTGTTCTGCAACAAGAGAAACCTATTCGACTACCTGGAGTTGACTTCACAACTACCCCGCAAAGACCAGTCCATAGAGATCTCGAGGTAGACGAGAAGACATCCTCTACAATCATCAGTGCGTGCAAGGAAAAGGGGGTCAGCGTTACTTCAGCTTGGCACGCTGCACTTGCTTTGACAACGCAGGTGAGTTCATGTTTGCTGCTTGCTACTCCTTGGTAGTCGATGAATGCTGAAATTCCATGCTTGCAGAAACTCCAGTCGGAAGCTGGTGAAGACGGTTCATCCTACGTTCAGTTCACCACCATTGACCTGCGTCGCCATTTCCCCTCCTCTTTCGTCCCGTACAAGCACTCGATCGGGTCGCTTCAAACCGCCTTGCCTCTCGCAGCGGACCTCAGCAAGGACAGCACTTTTGATGCTCTCAGCAAGTCCCTACACCAGCAGTACAAGGCCCCTTTTGCTTTCGCCGACAATGATTTTGGGTACCTGACCCCTTACATGGCTATGTCGCGACAGATCCTTGAGAGCGGCGGCGTGCCACCGAGCAGCACGCCGTCTTTGTCCAGCATGGGAGTTGTTGACGATTATCTACAACGCCAGTATGGAGCTTGGGAGGTGTCCAACTTTTGGGTGAGCTCCACGATGATGACTGGTGATTTCCAGATGTATTTGTGGACTTTCCGGGGGAAGCTCACCTTTAGTGTGTGCTACAATGAGGCATTTTACAGCGTGGAGAAGGTCGATCGTGTCCTGCGAAGTACTAGGGATGAACTACTTCGTGGGTTGACTCAGCTATAGGTCGCTAGGCGATGCGCCCAGAGCGGGCGCTAGAATAAAGCCTGGAAATGCTCATTCCGCCTGGGCTAGGCCCTGTAGCCCCTGAGATAACGCCTGAATGGGAGTGAGCTACCTTATGATATTGATGTTTCGACATGAAGTCTGTGCATTGACATGATGTCGTTGTCTGATACGTGGAAACCCTGACAAGCCTTATGTTACTGCCCATCGATAGGTACGATGCCCCCTTAATCACAGCGCCATTGTATCTTACTTGGTACATGTGTTTACGTGGTAGTTAATGGCCTCTTGTGCACAACGGTAGTGGAGGCTTACGTGCCGGCGGGAGATTGGCGATGTTCGAATGCCAGCGTTTTACGCATCTAGATGCATCAATCGTGTGTTAAAACCACATGGCCAAGTTTGGGCATGGAGTTTGCAGAGAGGTTCTTGAGTCTTTCTGTATTTCGCTACCAGGTCATTCAAGAGAGTGTATTTCCACAATCTGCAATTTGGCCATTCCCTATGTCCTGAATTGTTGCAATCACAACCAATCCTACCCTGTCCAAGGAACTTCATCATTCGTCGCAAGTTAGTACGCAAGGAAAACAAGAGGCCGCAACGCTACAAAGGCTAGCTCAAATCGAGATCCGTCACCAATCAAACATAATATGCTCTACTTCCGAGGATTTCTCCATCGAATCCAGAGTAGACAATGGCTCAATGTCAATAAAGACAGAGACCTCCTCTCCAGGGAGCGATTCTACAACGCAATGTCGAATGAAGTCTACAAGATGTCGTTTCAGAGCATCGAATTCGTCTTCTCTTCCACAGGGAATTATCTGATCCGCATGAGTGTCTCGAGCTTCCAGTCGAATAAGGAGGTACTTGAGCTCGGATCGCTCAAACTCCAGAGGAAGCTCATTTTCTAGTTCGGCTAGCGTCTTGGTCCGGAAGCTTCCTCTGGGCTTCCAGATGCAGCTCCGGCGAGTCGGGGAACGAGTGATGATGCGATATACGAATTTGACTCGCGCTTGACGCAACGGTGCGGTCTGAGATGAGCCGTCATTTTCGATTGGCTCTACAGCCATTGTCTGTGAACGTCTCATGTCCACCAAGAAAGAGACTGTCTTCCTGTGTTCCATAGTAGGGCTCGTTGGGCACGAGGTGTCAACTGGCGCTGATGCTTCGGTGCTGCTGATAACCTCATCTTGCTGAATTGAACGCGTATCAGTTTCGACGTACAGTTGCTTGGTCGCTTCATCAATGAATGCGTCAACAGAATCTTCTCTGTCTTCGACATCCTCCGCATTGGCTTCCCCCTTGTGTAGATCCGACTCCGCTTGGCCACCAGTGACAGAGCCGCCAGGAACTTCTAGGTGGGCTCCAGATGACATGGTGCCGGCGTTCATCTCCGGAGGGGAGTCCTTATCCATTGCCTGCAAGGCCTCAGACAGTCGTTCGCCTGTTAGAATCCCATCGCGTTGAGGCGCATTGCGCTTGCGCGGCGACGTCAGACTTGTTTGGGGATCGACCGGAGCCTCATCTCGCTTCTTCTTCGATGTCTGATGGAGAGACTGCATAGTGTCAACCCTCGGACGCTTGGGAGGAGGCTCGGAAGGGTTCATTTCAGCATAGGGCGCCAATTGACGATCTTCCATAGGGCCAGTCGAGGAAGTGAGGTTGTAGGGATCGTTCTATCAAGTATCCCGTATTAGAATCACACTACGTGGCAATTCTACATAACGAATTTCGCTTACGGAATTATTCTCGACTTCTTGGCCATGACCTTCGGGTTCGCGCTGGAAGTCTGTGGCAACCCCCCTTTGCAATTGCAATAGTCCTTGAACCTCTTCCGAGGTAGAGTCTAATTCGTATGGGTCGACAATTTTTGAAGGAGCAGCCGCCTTATCTGTCTTGGTCGAGCTACGTCATCAAATGTAAGGAGAATACTCTCAGTATGTGCGGGATGCCGATCGCTCACCTTGAGGTGGAAGGCATTCCAACCGCACTAGAGTTCTCGAGTGACTCCTCAATCTCATCTACATCGATGGGGTTCTCGTGACTACCTCTCCCATCAAGAGTGCGTGTGTGGACGTTGCCCGTCTTCACCTTGTTCTTTCTGTATTTGCCATTGCGGTGCTGCTGCAGGTTCATTCTCCAAAAGAGCTGCTTCAGGATTCGCTTGATTCTATGAGACATGAACTTATCAGCCAATTTTCTTTCTTAAAGAGACGGGATTGCCGTTATTACTTACTTCGTGCCATGACGGGAATACTTGAGCTTCCTAACACTGCCTTGGGCATGTTCATCCGGCCAAAGTCGAGCTCCGTTTCCGTCACGGTCGAGAAATTCATGGGCCATCTCCTCAAGAGCACTTTGATGCTCTGGAGACTTCCACTCGTACATCGCACTGCCTTCATAGCCTTGTCTGGTCTTAAAGGTCTTGCGGAAAGCCCGGACGCTGTCTTGGAATAACTTTGACTGACAACTCGACGGGTCAGAGTCGCCATATCCGAGCTGATGCCGCAGAGCAGAGACGGATGGAATGGACGTTGGATTGATGGAAGACGACATGGCTACCAAGTGAAGAAAACACTTGGTAATGACAAGCAAAAAGCTCAAGTAGAGAGTCGTTCCAACATAAGATACAGAACACGAGCTGAGAGCATGGGTCAATTCAGTAAGACCACATGTTCCGCCAGCTGCAGCGCTGCTTTCTCTTTTGACGGAATGAAGGGAGAACTGCCCCCCATTATATACTTCTCAAGGCGACAGGGGTGTGGGGCTTGTGACTCGGGGCTCGCTCGATCCTTGATTCTGCCTGACCACTCTGCTTCAGCGATTAGGCAGAAGGGTGGTAGGAGTGACAGAGCTGAGACGCTGGCGATGGAAGGGTTGAAGGGAATGAGCCAGTAGCAAAGAATGAGATTTTGAAGATAGATGGGCTGAAGATTGTGAAAAGGGTGGAATGAATGAAGTTGGCGGAACGTATGACACGGTTTCAAACGGGGTGGAGTGTAGTGAAATATGTTGAACTTGGTATAAATGCGTGCAAAACTTAGAGAGACGAAATCAAAATGCAATAGTAGAAAATGATATAAGAGCTAGGAAAATTGAAACGTGTGCTGCTCGAAAGTGGGCTTTTGGCTAAGAGAATGTGGTGGTGGTTCTTGTGACATGTGCAAAATAGGCGTGAATCAGTGTGAAAGTTGAGAAGACTAGGAAAGGTGAAAGTGGTAATCAGAAAAAGTAAAGTGGCTGTAGAGCCAAAAGCGATGAAAGGGCCAGATAGAACGGAAAGATCGAGAATGGTGAAGTGTTTAAAAAGACTCAAGGAGTGAAACAATTGAACTGAGGGAAAAGGCCAAAAAAGTTTGAAAGAGTACAATTGTGGGAAAGGAGTAAAGATGGCGGGATGGGCATTACGGCTGAAATGAGCACAAGAGCTGGAAACAGTGAATCGTGCGAGGTAGGTAAGATGTGTGAAAGTGCCAATGGAGTAAAATTGGCTGACAGTTGAACGGAGTAAAACAATCAAGATAGAGTGAAACGACTGAAAAATGCGAAATGAGTGAAATTCCTGAAATGTTGCCAACAGTCGAGCAAGTGAAATGGCGGGAATCAAGTGAGCAGGATGAAGTGTGCGCAAAGGTTGGAATAGATCGGGTGACGGCCATAGAGAAAAGGAGTGAAAAAGGTGTGATGATTCAGAGGAGCAGAACGAGAGGAACGGAACGAAAAGGATCAAATTGGCGTAGGGCGAGAAAGGTCAAAAGTGTTGGAGATGTGCAAGCGACAAAATCACCAAATCATAGGCATGTCCAACTCAGAGGAATGAGAAGTTTGCTCAGCGCGTAAAAACAAATGAAGTGGGCAGAATCAATGAGAGGATCGCAGTGAGAGACACAGAGCGAAGAGAATAAATTTGGTGCCATAATTAGAGTGATCAAATGTGATGGGAAAATGAGATCTGCAAAATCAAAAATTCTTATTACAGTTGAGCCACACCAAAAATTTGCCCAGCGCAATCTTTGAACGATCGAAAGTGTTGGAAAAAAATGAATCGATGGAATTAAAAAAGTCATGTCAAAGTTGAGCCACACCAAAACCTCACTCGGCGCGTAACTTGCAGAAGACCAAACCAACCTTGGACTCAGCTGGCAAGGATCACTGCATCCATCACGTCAATCTTCAGAGTCATTGATAGGATGGAACCCAGTTCCGGTCAAGTTGGTCCGGCACTTGGTCGAGATATTTCTGTTGGTTGATACGTATCTCGTGTTGGAACGGTCAGGTCGCAAGAGACCAAACTCGTTTTTGCGGCACAGTCGGTTCATGTCTGAGGCCTCCTGCGGTTAGGTTGCAATTATGGCCTGGAATGGATGAATGAGTCTATGAGTGGTATCGGCGGCCAGATTAGAGGCCTAGTACCCCTTAAATAAGGAAGGCGTTGAAGGGTTGGGTTCGAAGCGAGGCGCAAGAGGGTTGTGCAAGGCATACATGTTATGAGTGTTGTTTGTACTAATTCACGTCATCTACACTTTTGCGTTGGGGAAAACTGTGACGATGTTACATGTACGAAGGACCATCACTGGCAGTCAAGATTTTCTCATTAGTACCGCAAAAGAAGATCCCATGCGAGCACCTAGCACTACTCGGAATCCCTCTTGCATCCCGACTCATGAATTAAGTGGCAGTAGCGTGGATTCTTAAAGTTAGTACAAACGCCGGACACGGCTCGGGGCGAATTCGTCGAGACGGTCGGGATTTGTGGAGATATTGCGGATAGTTATTATGGGGATGTTCGGCATCGGTCTTCAAGCAATCGGTGCACGTGCGGTCGCTCTTGGTGACTACTGCCAAGAAAGCGATTATTTCCAAATGAGCCACATACTTCCTGATCACGTTTCTAAGTGGCACTAACAAGTTATGTTTTAAGGATTTGTTATTGTCTAAATGCAATGCTAGACTACCGAGATCCCAAACCGAACAGATAGGAAATAAATGCAAAAGGGAGT